GGAGGTACTTGGTGTGGGGCTACTTGACAGGGGGGCTCCTTCACCAGACTGCATGGCCGGGTCACCAGTTATGTGGTACCTGTCAGGTGGCACTCAACATATTTTATATACAATATTTACAAGAAAACCGTAACAGTAGAAAACATCGTCCGATCTAGCCGCCGGTCCGCTCGGTCACCGAATCGTAAAGCTCGTGTCTCGTGGTCTGTTCTCGTGCGTCTCGGCTTCTTTTCTCTCGCTCCAGTGGTACAGCTAGCACGGCTGCTACAGGCTGAAAGATTTTTTGTTCAGACTTTAACAACAAAGTTTGAAGATCCAAGATGGAATTCCTAAAAGAAAGAAGTGCGAGCAAGCTATACCCAATTTTCTTTAGTCCCTTTTTTTTTTTTTACGATCAAAGACGGGGTAGGCAGACACTGAGTGATTATGTGCCCCTTGGAGAAGCTCGACGCAGTAGGAGCACAGACAATATTTAACAGTGTCCCTCTTGGTTATAGTGACTACGACCATATTCATGTCACAACAGGAAAGAATGCTCCGTCTAACCTTAAATTCACTAAAAGTGACGCGATATTAAGCGAAGGTCACAACAAGCATCCTCGTTCGTTGCTGCACGAAAGGTATTAAAACACTTCTCATCCCTTAGGGAACAGGATGTATGTTTTTGCTTCTTTTCACCTTATTTGACCAAGTTGGAAAAGCTACTTATTTTTTTTTGTAGTCCAACTTCTAGAATTGCCCTACACTTTATTTGTGAATTCCAGCCAGGTTATCTGTGTTTCAGTCACCCTTTTTGCACATCAGCTTTTTTGCAGGCACTTCGGAAATGGTAATGGTCTCTTCTTTTCTCCCCTTTTTACCCCAGCAGGATACAACTTATCTCAAACGCAAATGTTCACGAATAAAAGAAAAATGGTAGTTGATATAGGCTAGAGATTCTGGGCTCGAGGAGGGAGCAAAACTCGTGGGTGGGGCTTAGTTTTCTTCCTTGTGCTGCCTGTGCCTCAGTGAACCTGTATCTCGAGAACACTAGAGTAAACTACTGCCAGCAAAATATGTTTTTTAACGGCAAACATGCACACACTTACATTGCCCCGTTTTAAGCGACATTTTAATTAGCTGTTTTTAAAGGGCAACTCCGCTCAATTCCGAAGATTTTGGGATAATGATTGATTTCGAATTAAAAAGCCCTAGTAAAACACACTACGTCGTTTGCTTCGCGAAAAATGGGATATATATTTTTAAATCTGATTTTAAACACGAGCGGAAATCGAAACCGAAACTTCGGCTCCGCCCGGCAACATTGGCCTCGGGTCGCCAAGTACATGGCCATCACGTGGTACGAGATGTCACGTGATCCTCGGCCCAACGACGGGCGGGATTGGGGCAGGTGTGTAGCAGGCGCGAGTGCCGTCTGCACCGCACTCTTCGCCACGTTTTGGTGTCTACGGCATTCGACGACGTCTGCACAACTGCGGCATAAGTGTGCGCGCACGTGGTGTCCGTAGTGTGGACGAAACTCCGAGAGACAATAATCACAATCGGTGAGACGACGACGGCGGTTGTGACGCGGAAGACGGCGGTAACGGCGGGACCACGGCGGGCGGCCGGACGGCTCCCAAGAAACGCGCTGCGCAGACGCGTTACGCCAATCACGTGGACACTGCTGAGCGCCGAGAGGCAACGTTGCTGACGTCATGCGCTACGCTCGCCCGGAGAAGTGAAAACAAGCAAAAGGGGGCCATGTAGATGGCGTTTAGCTCAAGGTTGGCTCCGCCCATGCCATAGCCTTGACTGTGCTGTTGGTTGCGCCTGAATTCGCCTGCTCAAGTCAGCCGATTTCGGCAACTTGGCGAGTTGCAAAGTTTGCCGGACCGTTTAAGAAACATTTAGACAGAACTGCGTCGTAAGATTTCACGTGTGGTCTTCCTAGGCGATACTGAAGAGGACTGCATTGTTTTTTCAAAACCAAAAATGAAGCGGAGTTGCCCTTTAAAAGCACCCAGGTGTTTTTATTTCTTCGTTACTAATATCTGTATCGAAAAAAAACACCTTTATTTTCTTATTCACCATCATCTCAACCTGAGGCTCGAGCTCTTAAGGCCACATAAAGAAGAATTTAGATGGAAACTTTATTTATTATTTAATTGTCCAGGTAACCACGCTGTCCGACTAACTTTGTTTGCTACCATCTGGCATTGCTCGCGGGTATATAAATAGATGCGTGCACATAAATAAATTCCTATTCCAGGTTTGGCCAGTTGTACGGGGACTTGTTCAGCTTGGAGATTCCGACAGTACGTATCAGGCACCGGCTGCAACGACGAAGCTGTGCTCTTTCTTGGAGGTAAGGACTTCTATCGCTTTGCTGGGAAACCAGATACATCGAGCATTCGTGATGCATGTTATGGTACTCCCATCCAGTGCTTCAGCTGAAAGGGTGTTCAGCGTAGCGGTCGGCATCTTCGCAAAGAAATGAAGCAAGGTATCTTCCGAGACTTTTGAGAGCCAGCTGTGGCTCAAAATACTCAAGGTCGGTAATTGGGACTGGTGGCAACAATAAACACTCGAATAACCCTCTTCTTTTTGTTTTGTTAATTCAGGAGAGCAATTTTGAAAGTAACGCCACAATAGTAACGGATTAGTTTTTGGAGTAAAGGTCACTTCCTTTTATAGATGGGTAATTGTATTTGTAATTGATTCCAATTTAGCCTCGAGTAATTGTCAATGTAATTCCTTACTTTTCTCTAGTAATGTGTACAAGTCTGGTTCGAGCACAGTATAAACGTTGCGCGCTATGCGACGAAGCTTTCTTTTCCGCGCGCTTGCTTCTATGGCTGCTATGTAATTCCTTACTTTTCTTTAGTATTGTGTACAAGTCTGGTTCGAGCACAGTATAAACGTGGCGCGCTATGTGACGAAGCTTTTTTTTCGCGCACTTGCTTCAATGGCTGCTATGCAATTCCTTACTTTTCTTTAGTAACGTGTACAAGTCTGGTTTGAGCACAGTATAAACGTTGCACGCTATGTGACGAAGCTTTCTTTTCCGCGCACTTGCTCCTATGGCTGCTATGTAATTCCTTACTTTTCTTTAGTATTGTGTACAAGTCTGGTTCGAGCACAGTATAAACTTTGCGCGCTATGCGACGAAGCTTTCTTTTCCGCGCGCTTGCTTTTATGGCTGCTATGTAATTCCTTACTTTTCTTTAGTATTGTGTACAAGTCTGGTTCGAGCACAGTATAAACTTTGCGTGCTATGCGACGAAGCTTTCTTTTCCGCGCGCTTGCTTCTATGGCTGCTATGTAATTCCTTACTTTTCTTTAGTATTGTGTACAAGTCTGGTTCGAGCACAGTATAAACGTTGCGCGCTATGCGACGAAGCTTTCTTTTCCGCGCACTTGCTTCTATGGCTGCTATGCAATTCCTTACTTTTCTTTAGTAACGTGTACAAGTCTGGTTCGAGCACAGTATAAACGTTGCACGCTATGTGACGAAGCTTTCTTTTCCGCGCGCTTGCTTCTATGGCTGCTATGTAATTCCTTACTTTTCTTTAGTAGCGTGTACAAATCTGGTTCAAGCACAGTATAAACGTTGCGCGCTAGGTGACGAAGCTTTCTTTTCCGCGCGCTTGCTTCTATGGCTGCTATGTAATTCCTTACTTTTCTTTAGTAACGTGTATACAAGTCTGGTTCGAGCACAGTATAAACGTTGCGCGCTATGTGACGAAGCTTTCTTTTCCGCGCGCTTGCTTCTATGGCTGCTATGTAATTCCTTACTTTTCTTTAGTAACGTGTACAAGTCTGGTTCGAGCACAGTATAAACGTTGCACGCTATGTGACGAAGCTTTCTTTTCCGCGCGCTTGCTTCTATGGCTGCTGACACCCACCCCAAAAGAGGAAGGAAGCAGCTGCGGAGAGGTTGCAGCTGTGCAAAGCGACCTTAATAACCCTTTTGCACGTTTATGGATGAGGGTTCGGTTCACCACTATTACCCAGAGACCAAATTGCGAAGCAAATGCTGGCGGCACATCGACTCACCGTGGTCGCAAAAGGTTGTGCCGAGCGTGTTTTGGGACTGCCCTGGTGTTCTCAGATTATGCTCGCAAAGGTCAAACGATCAGAAGAAACCATCATTGCGAGCTTCTGGCAAAGATGTGAGAAGAGGCAAAATGCACAGGGAAGCTCACAAAAGGCCCACTTCGTGACAATGCCCCGGCTCACTCGGTACGGGCGACGTTGTCACGTGCGGCCACTTTAGGTTATTAAATTTTGCCATCCCCCACATTCAGCCGGTCTCGCGACCTCTTCATCTTCCCTCGCACAAAGATTCTGGGATGTAGAAAGTATTTTGAAGACGACAGCCGCATTCCTTCGCGACAATAATAATATCAATTTTACCAACGCCCCTCCTCTTAACTCGGAAATGGAAATGCCGTTAAAGCCCATTTTTGTTTTCCCCTGCCCACCAATTTTCGTAACGCCGCTATAAAATGATAGGGATTTACCTCGTCAAAATGACACTAAAAAAAGCCCTTTGGCAACTCAAACTCGAAGGACATGTAAAAATCTCGAAAGTCTTCAGTATAGAGGTCCTTTTACGTGGCAGTAAAATGGGGGTACAAGGTGTGGGCCGTTGATTTTCCGTACAAATCGTCCATATATTAGTCTCTTTCAAATACCGGTACGTGAAATGCCTGTACCGGTATTACGTGCGTATGTTAGAACCTCTCGAGAGCAAAGTCGGTATTTTTAGGAAAAATCGCTGCACCATTATCTTTAGAGTACAGGTACCAAAAATGTATCCCAACAGTATTACGATCGCAAAAGTACCCGTGGAAATGCACTACGACGATTTTCTGGTGTAACCACCGACGCAAATGATTAGCGGTAGAACGAGGCCCAATAATTTTCGAGCAACACATTTTGCCGAACTCGAAAACGGTCCCGGAAAAAGGACTAACATCGCAAAAAGTGGCTCGTTGGAATGCTGGTATGCTTACGAGCGCATCCACGTCCTTCTCTGCCCTGAACTTGAGGCAATTGCCGTAATCCTTGGACCAGTCCTCGCAGTCAATGGTGCTGCCGAAAACAAAGTACTGGTGGAATCTGGCTCTTATGCCTGCAACCAAGAACAAAGTTAGAATGAGCAACGAGCAGACGGTCTAGAAGCAATGACAGTGTCTAGCAACGCGAGGAACGATTCTCTAGGAAGAGGGAAAAACAGCTCGCCCTCAGCACGAAACCCTCATCGTTCAAAAGTAGCGTCGTGCTAGTGTCAACGTTTTCGAAGCACCACGCACCCCATGTACCGCGACACAATGACACGCGGTACAACCTTGCGTGCGCTAACGATTCGGCGAAGGATAAATGGGGGACGGCGGGACATCGGACAAAAGCACTCGCCGCTGAATCATTTCAAGCGGGCGCTCCTACGTAGATAAGGGCACACACCCCGGGTAGCGCACTTCGAAACAAATCGAACAGGAATGCCAACGACGTGATACGGGGTTGTGTCCCCGGATGTCGGGAAAATGCGACATCTGCAATGGACGGATGGAATGCTGGCAAAAGGTGGTCGTTCCCCAGCTCGGTTACTGAGAGCAATGTGGTGCTGACTCACTTTTGCAGTCCTTGTACTCTTCCAGGTACCACTCGCAAGGCCGCACCTGCATGGGGCCAGAAAAAGGAAAACCGGGCCAGGTGTCACCACCACCCAGCTGTGGTTCTGCCTTTTGGGGCCTCATTTTTTCCCCATGTCATACAGAATGCGAGAAACAATGTTCCCCCAACACGTCTTTTCCCTTTCTTTCGTTTCTTAACCTATCGCGCTATGATTTTGTGCAGCATTGCCCACAGGTGGTGCATTTTTTCCATAAAATTTACAAAGAGTGAACTTACCTGAGGAAAAAGTAAAAGAAAAATGAAAAAGGCTCAAACAATAGGGTGCCCTATTGATTGAAGACTGGTGGCTTTGCTGGGTTTCCATAAGAATTACGCCTTTTTCTTTCTTTACTTTTTCCTGAGGTAAGTTTGCTCTATGCAAATTTTATAGAAAAAATGCACCACCTGTGGGCAATGCTGCACAAAATCGTAGTGCGATAGGTTAAGAAACCGAATTTTGCGGTCGATTTGAAGCGCCTGGCCGCTACTTGAGACATCCGGTATACCCCCAATTTTTTCCTCCAAATTTAACGGACATCTAGGCTTCTACTGTCTACCATTCCAAACTCCCACATTGAGGAAAGAGGAAGTGTCCGAAAGATAGTCCAAAACAAAAAACAGGAACAAATGCGATTGTGGCGACGCAACACGCAGTTTGACGCGGATATTTTCCCTCGCTCGCTTAATTTTATCTACGGACTATCGGCGCAATATTTTACTAGAATGTGCAAATGCTAAAGTTGATGTAATGACACGTTCCAATCTTAAAAATGTAAGGGGAACACATTGCCTTCCCAAAACTTGTAAGTTGAAGGAATGTGTACAATGACATTTCCTCCTTACATATTGGGTGTTTTTCGGTGTTCCAAGGTTAGACGAAAAGGTGCCATTCATCAGGGTGCAAGGAAACCCATCCCCCAACCTCCAGGGAAGCCCAATACTTGGAAAGCGACCCAACCAGAGAAGCAAACCAGACAAGAAGCTCCCCAAGAAATAAGCAGTCTCCTTACGGTCGGGCGTTCAGTGTAGGCTTTCTTTCGAACAGTGTTGGGTAAAGTATGTCTAAAAAGTACTTGAAGGTACAGAGGAAATGAGAGACTATGAACTTCAAGTAAAGTATTAAGTACACTAGGCACAATGTACTTGAAGTAAAGTACTATAAATACAATATACCTTCAAAGTAAGGTACTATAAATACAATGTATTTTCAAATTAAAGTACTATAAATACAATGTACATGAAGTGAAGTACTATAAATACAATGTACTTGAAGTAAAATATTATAAATACAATGTACTTGAAGTAAAGTACTATAAATACAATGTACCTTCAAAGTAGAAGTACTTTTAACACACTCTTTTATAATTCTCTTTCATTTACCTGTACAGTGTTCTTTTAAACATCTTATATACAAAAGCACAAAGACAAGGAGAGAAGAAAGATACAGACAGAAATGCTTACTATCAACTGAGTGTTTAATGCATGAAAAGAGAAAGACTAAAATGACGAAAGACCAAAATAAAATGTTAATGCATTCACAAAGAAAAACAACATATTTACATTTCTTTTAACAATAAAAGAAAAAGAAAAATTAGTTTCAAAGAGAGAGAGAGAGAAATAGAAAAGCAGCCGGATTAAAAAAAGAAAGGCTGAGGTATCCCATCTCTTTCTCGGAAAGTGATATTGATGGTGCGCTAACGCAGGTGTCTCCTCTTTATTTATTATGGATTTCGCCTCACGAATTTCTCAGGCTCTCTAGCTCCAAAAGCAATTAAGGACTTTTGTTTGTTCAAATAAGAGTACATTTCCTGTCTCTGACATTTATGGCTGGGTGACCCGATGGTGGCAAAAGTAGAGAAAGGTCACACTCTCCTAGTCTTATATTACTGCAGCGGCCAGATTGACCAACGTACGCTCTCTCACAAGTGCTTGGAATTTCGTACACCTGTTGACGTTGCAGCATATTTATGTGCGTGCTGAACTGAGCCTTCTTCTTTTCGTTAGTTTTGGGAGTTAATCTTTGGACACAGTTTTTTTTTTAGTTTATCAGATGTTGACAGTACCACCTGAATGTCATACTGTCTACCATTTCAAATCTATCTGTTTCAAGTTGTGGGACATTGTACCTGACTAGCCCAACGGTTAATTTTAATTTCTTTTTTTTTTAAAAACTGGAACTCATTGCTCCAGGGATAATCGGAGGTGCAAGGTTTTTTTCAGAAATTGCGGCATATATTGGATCTAGTCGAGAGGCTTCAGAATTGACAAAGCATCATTTTGTGATGCAAATTTAACGAGATCAAGTTTGGGGAATGTACTTCGAAGTCGGGAGTTGTAATTTCCTCGGAAAGCCCGAGAAAAATACTTTTAAGTAAAGTAGAAGTATGTACTCACAGAATGTACTTTGAGTAAAGTACAAGGTGTGACCAAAAAGTTCCAGTACTGATTTTGCAGCGTAAAAAGAAAGAGCAGCAGATATGATGCAGCAATCGAAGGAAGGGATCTTGGGGTCTCGTTATATGGAAGGGCGTCGCTCCATGAACATTTGGAGCTGCGCTATGTGAGTTTTTGCGGCCACGTGCACGGGAACAATGGCGACTTCATCGCATTGTGCAAACCGCAGCGAGAGAGAACAGGAATTCTGCGTCAAATATAAGATAGAGACCTTTGAAATGATGCAGAGGGCTTGTGTCAAAAAGCAGGGAATTTAGTTAAGTTTCTTAAGTGGCACTCTCGCTTCAGGAACGGTAGCACATCGCTGAAAGACAAAGAGGGCGACCTTATCCGACCTCTCCTGGACTCCAGTGCCGTTCTTGAGGTGCGAGTGCCACTCGAGACACCTCGCACACCTCGTTGCTCACGCTACAAAATCAGTCCCGGAACTTTTTGATCACACCTTGTGCGAGTATTCTAAACCTCCTTGAAATAGTAATTTAAGTACAATGTACATAAAGTGGCTCCCAACACTGCTTCCAAATCAACACAAAATAAAGCTGCAGATGAAGATTTCGTAACACCCAAGCTCGAGTTTTTCTGATTCAAGGATAGCTTTAATCTGAGGTCCTTCACTAATTTTGGGGGCTTATAGGTACGCTGTAAACAATTTAATTTTTGCAGGCTCAATATTTTGCGAATCGCGGAGGTATGCTATACATTTGCCACCATAGGAAAACATATTAGCGTGACCTATTTTTCCGCAAACCGTAGGCGATTCGCGCGCGAAAATTAGGTCCTCGCAAAAATGAAGTCCTTTACAGTATACTGAAAACATGGAACTCTAGACATACTTTCGAGATGAGCTCGTTCCTCTGTTGGGCATTAAATCGCGAAGCAATTAGGAGACAACAAAGAGGTTTTGTATCTTCTGCCTTTCCGGACAAAGCACCAACATCGAGCACGACGGAGGGATCCCCAAACTACGGCACCACTTACGCAAGAAATGCTCAGACGCGAGAGTAACCGAACAGACCGACCAAAAAGAATGGACTCGCATTTGACTTTCCTGCCAAGATTCGAGCGTTTCTCCCTCCCTTTACCGGTCCCCTCGCTCTCGGAATCGAGTGGTAGCCAGCGCCACTCAAAGTGCAACCGACGACTCTTTCCAGACCTAGCTAGTGGGGCATCGACCGCCCGCAATAGACGGACGCGGAAGCCAGGGGTGGGAGAGCCCAAACTGGTTTTTAAAGCAAATTTTGGAGCGGAAAAGTTTTCATTTTTGCACAGCTTAGGAGCAGAAAATTTTCCAATTTACAGTAAGTTAGGGGCAGAAAATCTGTGTTTTATTGCACAGAGGATAAAAATTTCTCTCTTTTGAAGCACCTTACGAGTAAATATCATTTTAAGAAAGCTTATTAGCCAGACGATGAATTACGATTCAGGCAAACTAGGCTCGTACTATGAGTGTTCGAAACACTCATCTCTATGACAATTGCTGAATCGCGCATCCCCATTCCGTGAGTGCAGCCATCTTGCATGCAGCATTTTTTCGTTTTGCTAATGATGCAAAGCCCTGCGGCAGGGAGCTAAAGACACATTTTCTACTTGTTCGCCGTCATTCGCCGAACAAGTTTTTAAAACCCTGTGTAAGTTGGAGAACATAATAGCGCTTCACGACAGGGACGAAGGGTAGGAACAAGACAACACAATGCGCTAACTTCAACTGGTTTAATCGTCAGAAAATCAAAGGTATAAATACTCTGCATCATCGCGCCATTCAACCAATTCCAAGCCACGCCACTGATCGCAAGAACTGTATCTCTTTGTCTGCCAAATCGATCGACGCTACGCTGACACATCGATCCCCGCAGTTTCTTATCAGGTCCGCCTCTATAATGTGTAAGTGGTGAGACTTGCCATTGAGAATACGTGGAAATTTCACGAAAGTGCAGTACCGCAGAAGAAAAGCGCAGCTCATCGAAAGCAAGTTACACAGGTCTCGCGGCATGATCAAAGCTTCCTTGGCATGCCAAAATGCTGCGTCTCTGTGCCTTCGCACGCTTGAATACCGATCAAGAATTGACACTGTGTGGAAGTGTTTTGGGAGTGTAATGTGCGAGAAGGAGTATGTGCCTTTGAAGCAGCGTTTTACTTTACTCTGGCGACTGTATTTGTAACCTCTGGCACTCGTGGTCCAGAAACGAGCTTGATCCAGCGTCCAGTAGCAACGAAAGAGGGGGGAAGGTAGGACTTTATTTCGTCCTTAGACGATTTACAGAATACCTAGCACAACAGCTCCTCATCACTGATCAGTTGCTGGCTCATTATCAACCTACTTAATTGGACTTTTTTACTGTTTTTTAATTTGCACCAAACCTGAGCGCACTGACCGTAGTAACTTAATGTAACTTTTCTTTTCTCGAATTTCGATTTATTTTAGAAGTTATAGGCAAATTAAAATTACAAAAACAAGCAAAAAATAACCTCCCTCATGACGTCCTTGGTTGCTTGAAAGTGGCCGTGAACTAGAGGAGGGATAGTAAGCTCAGCGAGTGCTCACGGCTGCCGCACTCCGTGTCGACGGCGCGAGAGGGCGCCACTAAGACGTGTTCTGGATAGGCTCTATACAGCGGGCAGCCAGAGCGGCTGTCATTGCATTTGCTGCGCGATTAAACACTAATTCGCCATGACACTTCATTGGCCACAAACGACAGCAAACACGGGGTAAAGATCAGTTCAGAATGGGACTCACTTCGTGCTGCCTTACCGCGAAATGGCCAAAACGCAAGACAAGCCTACTCGCTGAAGGCCTTCAGAACGCTTGGAGCCGGTCGGATCCTCCAGTCCGTAAACGACCGCAGCGCCGCCGCATACATCCGGGGCCTTTCCATGTCGGCTCCTGATCCCACTACTCTTTTCTAGTATGCGCCGCCTTTTCCACCGCTTGGTGGCGGGTACGTCGACGCGTCATTTCTTGTTTCCGTACTTCATAAACTGCATTTCTTTCTTTTCTGATCTAAAATACTGAACAAAAATTACTTTTAGAAATAATTGAAACGGTTCGCGCCACTTATATTTTGTATTTCGACTAAAAAAAAAGCTTTGAGCGGCTCTGACCAGTAGTAGGCCAAGGACCAAAGACGTCACATTTTGCGCGCTTTCGGTACCATGGGTCGCCCCCGTCGGTGGAGGAGGTTTCCGCGTCGCCCGGTTAAAATATGATGCACTGATATTTAGTTACTCTCTCCGTGCCCGCTGGCTTGCCCGAACCCCGAGGGTTGTGGAAACCGCAAAAAAGGTAGACGCTTAAATGTGATTGCAGGGCCCCTTTAATGTGGAATGAGCCCATTACCTTTGGCACAGTGTGGCGCGGTATTCTACGGTATATTTCCCACTTTTTTGGTGCTTTTCTTTTTTCTTTCGAGATTTAGCCGTATCTTTACCCGGTTTAGATCAATTTTTGGAAGACAATTTTCTTTGACAAATTAAAAATGGCATCATATTGTAAACCTAATAGTTTCCTCAGAAAAAATATGCAACAAAAAGCAACACAAAACAGGCATATTTCCCAAGTTAAGAAAACAGTTAAAACCGCTTCTAAATTTTGCCCTAAATTTCTGCTCCCTGTAGTCTGTCATTTCACAGTTTCCTGAATGCCAGTAATGTAAGTTTTGTGTTTTTGTTTGAGTGCAATGCCGGCCTTTCACGCGACATCGCTTGGGTCGACAGTTGGTTTACAGTGATGGCGCTTTCTGGGAATGCTGTCCCTAAGAGTGCGGTAATACCATTTCCAACTTCCCACTACGTGAAAGTGTCAAAATGTTTAATTATTCGGAGCCAGTTAATATTTTTCCCCCTTCCGGGTGAAATGTGCTAGGACTGCAGCCAAAGGCAGACCCAAAGGAAGTTTGAGATGTGAGGGAGTATCAAGATGAAAACAATGTGCCGCAAAAGTAACCATTCGTTGGAAGGAGGCCGAAGAAATAATAAACTGGAAGGGAACACGTGTGTGCCACAGCAGCATAGGAAAAGGGGAAGGGTGTCGAAACCCCCCTTTCCTCAAAATAATCATGTTTTTCTTCTTTAGGAAAGGAAGACAAATATTGATTGACTACCGAACTGTTGCAGCCAACCAGGGGCTGGGGACAGCCGTGTCCATAACCGCGAACTGTACAGTGCATCGACTACTACACGCAAAGATGAGACAAAGACGAGTGGCGTAGCCAGGAAATAATTCCTGGCTAAGCCACTGGTGTGTCAAGTGCAGTCCTGGGCAGTAACTGGTTACTAGGAATGCGTTACCAGTAACTAGTTAGTTTTTTCAGTAACTTGTAACCATGGGCGTACAAACCAGGGGGGGAAGGGGGGCGATTTCCCCCCCAGTTCTCAGAGTGGAAGGCAAGGCATGTGTTTTGCCCCCCCCCTGAAACAGCCGCCACCGGGCAGGGCAAACACTGGCCGGCGGCGCCCAAGGGATACCCAAAGGCACCGCCCCCTGGCCAGGGGGGGGGGGGGGGGGGAAGGGAGGGGGAGGTCTGGTTTGCCCCCCCCACTCAAAAAAAAGTTGGTACGCCACTGTCTGTAACTGTAACTACTGCTTCACGAAAATAACTTGCAACTGTAACAGGTTTACCATTTTTTGAAACTAACTGTAAATAGTAATGTCGCTACAGTTACTTTTCAGATTTATGTGCAAACATATTACACACGACCACCAAATCCTCTCGTGACTCGTGAGAGTCCCAAGTCCTGATACGGGAAGGGCACAGAAAAAACTGCTGCAGAAACCGTCTAAAGCACGAGGAAAAGAAAAAAAATAAACATTGGGCGATTTTGTTTGGCCAAGCTGGTCGTGAGCTGTGAGGATGGGGACGCTTGTGCCATATCTGTTGTGTATGTTCCATTGCCCACAGCGCACATAGATGTAACGAAGTGCCACATCTCTAAAGTGCTTCTCTTTGTTTCGTCCGGCAGAGGGAGTGTTTTTTGTGAAATAGAGTTTTTGGTGATTGTCGCCCCAAACGCCCGCAGGCTTACGGCACAATCGATTTTCCGAAGCTTGTCTTTTTGCCGCCAAACATACAGTTCTTTCCCCGCTCATATGAATCGTGCAACTCCCAGATGCACTCTTGCAGGGTCTCGACTGTAGGCTCATTTGCTCTCCCTTCCCTTTTCTTTGCAACCCAATTTCCAGCCTTGTCTCCTGTCCTTTACTTGTCCCGATTGCTCTGCTTCTTGGGTCCCGTCACTTGAAAAAGAGTATTTTAGCTCAAAACATCCGTGTTATTCTGCTAGCTTGTGTGTTTCCTTGAAACTGAAAGACCACACTTAGACCAGGGGCACTTGGATTGGTTGATTTGGAGATATTCACGTCGTGGACTTTCCGCGTGGCAACTTTTAGTTGGGGTGGCGAGATGGAGGAGCGCAAACATTTTCAATCTGGTTAGGAAGTGGCGGAGAAAAGATTGCAACAGCCATTTGGAATCCCACAGGCAGTGGTCGTTTGTACCTCGATCGTTGCTCCTTTTGCACCACTGCCGTGTTCGGCGGGTTAGACAAAGGAATGTTGCCACAACATTGCTCTCCAAGTATTGCAGAGAGGCTTCGTGTTTTATGAAAGATAGTGCGCACGCAGTAGAAAACGATTCGACTGACGAGTGCATTGGAGTGGCATAAGAAAACATCTACAAAGCCGATTGCAAGGTACGACATATTAATACTGACTTTGCATTTGCACAATTTTTTTCCATTCCATTTCACCTCACCAAAAAAATCCAAAATTAGAACCGAGTGGTCGTAAACTCGCACCATGATTGGATATACCCAAGATCAAGAAGCATGCCATTGTATTTGTGTGTACCTTATGGTGGTCGCACCAATTTTAAAGTTCTTCATGGATCATGAGCAGGTATCTGCTAGAGCACTATATAGCTCCTACGGAGCAGAGTAGCGCAATCCTTTGAACCCCGTGTTTTGCCGACAACATGGCCGACAGAGCGGCTCGGCGCGAGTCACGTGGTACTCAGGGTTCCAGGAGGCGGCCCGCCCTATGGGAGAATACATGGAGATCGATACAACGCGGCTGATTAAAAAATGAACGGCGAGTTCACACTTTTCAAAACTAGTCTGTCGTGAAGTTAGTAAAGCACTAAACACTTTATCAAAGTTTTAATAACATCGGACATGTGTGCAAATTTTGAGAAAGCAATTTCCAAGGCAATGGCGTTTGAAGCAGACGATTTTTGCTCGCAGCGGAGATAGGCTTTTCAGGTTGGCCGGAGCAAGTCACGTGAATGGTGCGACGTCGCCGTATCGTCTGCTGCATGATGCCGCTCAAGCAATTTTTAAAAAAAAGTCAGGTCCTTGCGGGGCACAAAACTTAGCGCAAATTATTCTAAAATGTTCCATTACTATGTCAAAAACGATTGCCATCCCGTAAATTCCCACAATACTGAAGAACCAACGATTTTCTCACGTTCTCCATGCATTTCTGACCGTAGTTGGAACCTCCGGGCGTTCGCCGCTAGTCGCCGAGAGGCGGCGTTCTAGATTGCGCTACTCTGCTCCGTAGGAGCTATATAGTGCTCTAGTATCTGCTAGCGTAACTTTTCGAAAAACTGATGTCGCCTGTGATTTTGCCGAAGAAGAAATACTAAATGGTTTATCATATAGTAGATTTACCCATATACTGTCTTAAATTACGATATTCTTCAGTGAGCTATTCGTGGTAAAAATTGAAATAGGAAGAACCAAACATGTTTATGTTGATTATTGGGAAAATCTTAGTTTCTCAAAAAATGAGATTCACTACCGGGAACAACACAATGTCTTATGAAAAATCGATGCTAATGTAAAGGTAAACTAAGGAAGATATGGTCAACGTGCAGGCGAGCTGGTGCATATTAATCATGATGTTTAAACCCTCACAGTGGGAAGTAAACTTGAAGATAAACTAGAAAAAACAGAAGAAACGTGACAGACGCATTGTATTGTAAAAACGTTTATTGTGATGCCGCCTTCTGGCCTGAAGGCCTCAGAGTAGGCGGGGGGAAAGGGTGAAGGGAAGTAAAAATGACGATGCTTAGATGAACCTACCGATCCCGGAGGATCGGAGGAAGTCGATAAGAGATGTGTAGATGAGTTTTTGTGACAGACGCTTCTCTGTCCCCTTTACTCTGTTTCTTCTAATTTACTGTCGTTTTCTTCCCAGTCTGCGGGTTTAAACATCATGATTTACTTTAAGTTTCTTTGAATGTTTTCTTATGTTTATTTTTATAAAGTAACGACGAAGTAACGGCGTTGCATTAGCGAAGTAACAGTAACAAATTACTCTTTCAATTTTGTAACTGTAGCAGGGTTACTTTTCTTTTTCTCCGAGTAATTGGGATTTTTCCATTTGAGCAGTAACGTGCCCACGCGGCCAAGTGCGGCTTCCAGGCTGGCCTCGCTTCCCAAGTTGGTTCTACTAACAGAAAGCGATATTCGGGGCGATGTCTCATTTGTGAAAATACGCTTTCACTTACCATCCAGGCATTCTCGGGAATTTCGGCCTTCGTGGGACCGGCATCGCTGCTCGCAACTTCGGTAACTTCGGTACGGAGATTTCTGCTGGAAGTCGCCATCTTGTAAACCTAGCACCGCAGCCACACGGACAGCAGCAAGTGTAATTTGTTATAATTGTGAATGCCTTTCGCATTTCAGAACAGTATATTAAATAATTTTATTGATAATTTTATTTAGTAGAAGCTAGTTTGAATGTTTATTATTTTGACGATATCGGATGTATGCTACCTTATTTGCGTGGTTTCGTGTCAATTATTTTATGTGAGCAATTTAAATGATATATTTTTTATAAAATGACTTTAAAAAAACGAAAGCTCTTTCTATGCTTTTTATGTTTCCGTTTTGTTTGGTTTTGTTTATTCCTTTTTAAAGATGGCGGCCCCCATGGTGTTTTGGTTTGCTTCGGTCCTCGCGTTCGCCGAAACACCCGTGAACGGCAAAAAAACCAGACCGGCCATCATTCCTTACCTTCACGCTATTTCCCACAACATAAAAAAAGTTGCGCAGCGTTACAACGTTCCGGTGTTTTTTTCGGCCCCGAAGAAACCCTCGGCCTTGTGCAGAAGGACAAATGCTCCGGAAGAGGCTAGTGACGAATGCAAAAAGATACACCAAACGAAATTTGTGGATTGTAAGACATCTGTCCTCTACGATATACCATTATCCTGTGGGCGCTCGTATGTAGGGCAAACAGGCCGCTGTATTAATGATCGTGTGAGGGAGCACGCGGCAACTATCAAACAGCCTTCGAACCCGTAAACTAGACTTCGGTCTATTGTTTGGTTCAATAAAGTTTTCAACAACAACAACCGCCGTCAGGCTATATGGCCGTGCATTGTGATCACGACCAACCCTATGATGGGCGACCAGCTCACCACCTCCGCCACCTCCTGCCCCAGCGCGCCGCTTTTTCTTTTGCTTGTTCAGTTCTTTTTAGTTCGCCTAGTCCCCGCTGCTCCCGCTGGCGCTGCTTAGAATCTCCACTTAATTTATTAATGAGCATCTGTGGTAGGGAAGGAGAGGAATTAGGTTTAGAATTCAGTAGCGAAAAATCGGCAGTCATGATTTTTAACGAGGATGAAGTTGAGAGGCTGAAGATACAGAATATTACAGTTGAGAGAGCTAGTAAATACAAGTATCTAGGAGTATGGATATGTGATGGTGCAGAATATCTCAGAGACCATGAAAAGTATATAATAGGTAAGGGCAACAGAAATGCAGCTGTAATGAAAAATAGAGCACTTTGGAATTACAACAGGTATGAGGTGGTGAGAGAGATTTGGAAAGGGGTCATGGTGCCTGGCTTGACTTTTGGAAACGCAGTGCTATGCATGAAATCCGAAGTGCATGCGAGACTAGAAATAAATCAGCGCGGAGTAGGTAGACTGGCTTTGGGGGCACATTGCAAAACGCCAAACCAGGGAGTACAAGGAGACATGGGATGGGCATCATTTGAGAGCAGGGAAGCGGTGAGCAAGGTAGAATTTGAGGATAGGTTCAGGCAAATGGACGGGGAGCAATGGGCACGAAAGGTTTTCAGCTATTTATACATGAGGAGTGTAGACACAAAGTGGAGACAGCGCACTAGGAAATTAAGAGGAAAGTTTTTGGGCTATAGCGAAGATACGAAAGAGCAAGTCTCAGTTAAGAAGAAAGTTAAGGCCACAGAAAGAGATTGGTGGCTAGAGGGAATGCCGACAAAGACGGCTCTGGAAAGCTATAGATTAAACAAAAGAGTTATTGCCAAAGAAAGCATTTATGACAATTCTAGGGGAAGCTCATTGCTGTTTGAGGCAAGAACGGGTGTTCTGCGAACCAGAACATACAGAGTGAAGTACCAGGAAATTGATACAGTGTGCACTGCTTGTGGAGAGGAGGACGAGACGGCTGAGCACTTGATACTCTACTGTAAAGGGCTTCACCCTATGCTTACCGAAGACAACATAGATTTAATAAAGTCATTGGGTTATAGAGACAGCGAAGGGAGAGTGGATTTCAAGACTGTAGAGATTACCAAGCAAAGATTAAGTGAATGGTGGCAGAAATCGAGAGAAAATTAGGTATTTTCTTATCCACTGATGGCAAGGGGGTTTCATAGCCTCACTTTCTTTGCACTGCGGAGTGAATATAGATTTCACATTTAAATATTCTAAGCTTAAATGGTAAAACAAAATGGCTAGGTGGCGTAAGCTACCGCCCGATCCAAAGGGCTCAGCCGTATTCATCCATCCATCCATCCACTTTCCCCGCTGCTGTACGCTCGGGAAGCCTGGAGAGGCTAGTACAGGCTGTCTTTTGGCACGGGCACGCGTGGACGCGTGGATTTTTAGGCTGTAAAATAGCTAAACGTTAATTGTAAAGTGGAACTCAACGACGGGCTGTGATAATCTTCTGCTGTGTGCCGCTGTGCAAGTCGAGCACGCGGACTTCGACGGGGTTCGCTTTCCACGAGTTTCGGTGACGGAGATCCGGAACGACTGGCTGAAGAAAATCTCTTGCCAAGCAGAATGCAAATCAGTTACCCACCAAACTATGTAGCATAAAGAGATATTAGGTTCTCTTCATGTTCATAACACAAAATAGGCCGTGATACATATAAGTTTACAGCGTCATCCTTTAAACGCCGTGTTGCGAATATTGGACGCTGTATTATAACCTCCCTCATTTTGAGCGTTTAGTTAAATATGCAATGATGCTGATACACCTACGTACCGGATCAGCCGTCATTCATCGGAAGGAATGACGTTCGCGTGTTAATGTTGCGAGCTCGCGAATTTCAGATGACGCGGAACCTGCTGACAGGCTGTATATTTTAATTATGAGCATGTTAGACGTCGTTTGTTTATCTGATACTGCTTACTGTATTCGTTACTGTTTTCGAGTTAGTGCGTCACTAATAGAGAAGTTAGCTGTCAGTGTTCTAGTGAAAATAAAAGAATAATAGTAAATATACAGCTTGTCCCTGTCTCTCCTATTTTAACCATTGTTATGAGTCTGCCTATTTTAATGGTCTATTTTAAACATTTTTACGCTTTTGCCTTTCCTACAGCATTATTTCAAGAGATTGAATATACGTTTTCTTCATGTGTACAATATAGTATGTTCATTACTGGCCTGGCAAAAAAATTATGAGCGGACAAGAGCCATACCCTAAAACCGAAACTAATCTATATTTATTGAAATTTGGAGTATTTCTGGGTGTGCATTCTTCACAAAGGGTATCAAACTAAAGCCGGTCGTATTAAGTGAGAAAAAAGACTGTACGTGTGGCCGCGCTATAGGACTCGAAGCTATATTGATAAGCAAACACTCCCATAGGTCTACGTTGGCTTCACATGAACTGAGCTCTTCTCAAAGGAAAAAAAAAAACAAAAAAACTTAATAGACCGGCAATAGAAAGCGCTGTCGCTTTACTCTGTTTAAAGAACATGTCAAGAAAGCTATGCGGTTGTCGACAGAAAAGGTTACAGTCAAACTTGTGGGTTTTATCAACACAATCGCCGCCCGTCGCGTGTGACCGCGCGCGCATTTGGAGATGATACGTGGCGGCGCCTGGCGGATTTCGCTGTCCCCAGCCGTGGTCACGTGATATTTTCTGGTACACGCGCTCCCATAGAGAGGGCAGAGCTGACCTGGTCGCCCTATTGTGATCGATGCCCGTGCACCCCAAAGTTGTCAAACGCAATCATCCTAAGGCGACAAAAAAAAAAAAAAAAAAAAAAAAGCCAGGGAGATTTACGAAGCATTTATCATCAAAACAAGAGGGGCTGATATCTGTATCAGCGAGCCGTCAGTGGCCTTATCAGAACTTCTATATTCAGAAAAAAGTGGGGACGCTGGAAGTGACTAGGTTTTATTTTAGGTATTTAAGCATGTGCGTTTTCTAATACTTTCTGTTACGAGTGCCGCCCCGTGTTGTCGTCCACTTCTTCATCTGTCCCCGTTCCTTTGGCGCTCATTTCCAGTCATGAACCAAGAAGCCCAGCTAAACATTTGTTTTTCGACAATTCACTGGGAAGTGCTTTGCTGTTCGAGGCAAGAACGGGAGTTTTGAGGACGAGGACGTAAAGGGCTAAATTTCAGGAGACAGACACATTATGTGCCACCTGCCATTATGATAGCGAGACACTAGAGCACTTGGTTTTGAGGGGCACGGGGCTTCGCCCTGCCCTCCCTGAAGGGGTAACGTATTTGGCCGGGGCCCCGGGTTTTACTGGCGACGATGGATGGACGGTAGAGGAAAGGACTACAGTGACAAAGAGACGATTAGAAGATTGGTGGCAGTTATGTAGGGAAAATTAAATGATGAACAACTAACTAGCACAGCTGGGGACAGGCGGCACAGAGGAAAATTGGGACACCCTCCCGTGTGGCTCCGGCCCAAAGTCTCAACCCTGTCTCCCAGTGGGTCCGGTGCTGGGGTGACGCCGACAAGGACTCCCTCGCCGGGGGGAAGAAGCAGGGGGGGGGGGGGGGAGTGATGTTTTTAGTTTTTTTGCCCGATCCCCCGAAGGTCATCCTGGTGATATCCCACACCACCTGGTGATGGTTAGGGGGAGAAAAATTGGTTAAAAGGGCGGGAGGAATCACGTTTTTGTCTTTTGAGAATTAGGCTAGGTGGCGCAAGCTACCGCCCGTTATAAAGGGTATGGCCATTAACACCCATCCAGCCATCCATAAGGCCCGAAATGCAGTTACTCAGATACATTTGTCTTTTAGGCAACGCAACGAGGTATAGGGCATTAGAGTGATAAACTGGCAGCTGAAAGTGACCCCCAATTGACCGCCGCCATGTTGTACAATTTTGACCACTAGACACGTGACCAGGCCAAATCTATGACGTAACCAGACCAAATCTCTGGCGTCAACGATAAGATGGCAGCAAAAATATTCCAAAAGCCTGGAATCATAATGATCAAAAAAACTGCTCCGACTTTACTCAACAAGATTAACAATTTAATCAAACGTTTCGTCTCCCTAAAGTAACGCCATCGAATCTGAGCAAGGTGGAGCAGTCGGCACTACGGGATCTTAAATCGGATCAATCAATTATTATTCTTACAGCTGAC